GCCAATATTAATACTACGTACCATCGTTATTTTACTATCATCTAACAAATTGATTGGTCAATCGGCCAATAGAATCATGAGATGATTGCCAAAATCTAACCAATCACAATGAAAGTTCGCTATGCTGTATAATAATGCTTTTGGTTTGCATGCCAAACATCTTTTTAGAGAAGTCCTGCAAAAAGAAAACATTAATCTCTAGACAAACCGCTATATAGACCATGACTCTCCAACAAAAATTGTATTTTTCTTTGGTAAGAAATTTTGGTACAAGTGATCATCGGAAAAAGTTGATTGGGTATAACTGCTCATAGCTAGTTTATATTTCTTTATATAGTATTGTATAAATAACTCAAAATTTTTAAATATTTGTATTTAGTATAACTTAAGCTGCAGATTTTTTAATTAAATAACTTGTAAAAGTAATTACAATTACTATAAAACATACATTTTATTTTAAAAAAATTTAAACTTTTAACTTGCTATTTGAAAAATAATAACTATATTACTATACTAAGTTGTTATACTCTTTTTAATAAAATTTATATTTTAATTATTATTATATTTTACTATTAAAAAAATAATATACTATATTATATATAATATATATTTATTATTATAGTATAAATTAATAATATATAATATATATAATCTATTTTACAATTATAAACAATTTATTATATTTACAATCAAAATCTATTTAATTTATTTGTATATTTATAATTTATATAATTTTTTTAAAACTATTTCTACACTAACAATTCCAAACCCTACAATAATTGCTATAACAAATAAATTAAAATTAAAAGATTTAAAAAAAATAATTCATTAATTGTTTGTTAAATAAATACCTGTTGTAATAATGTCCCATTTTTTTTGTTCATCGGTTTGAAGTTTTTCCTGCTCAAGTAAATTAATTTTTTTTTGGGCCTCTATTAATTCATTTTGTATAATTAAATTTTGATGGTTAATTTTTTCAAATTGTTTTTTAATTATTTCATATGCAAAAACTAATGTTTTGATTTGTTGAGTTACTGTAATTTTATCCTTTTCATGTTTTGCTAATGCTTTTTTAATAATATTAATCGTTTCAATCCACTCTAATCTTCTTATTACCCAATTATTATCGTTTTCAAAAGACTGGTCAATTATTTTAATTAATGCATTCGATAAATATTTCACCATTGGATCCTTTGATGATAAAGAAGACTTTAAAATAGGATTTTCCTCAAATAACAACACTGATGGCCCTACCACACCAGGTGGAAGGATAAATGGAATAGAGTAATCAAGATCACTCGGAGTTGAATGATCTTGTAAATAATTTGGACGTTCACATAAGTTATAGCTATAAAAAATAGAGTATTTTTTTAAACATAATTATTTAAAAATATTTAAGCGTAAATAAAAATATAATTACCAATTGGATGGTTGATGATTTTTTGTTTCCAGTTTTGACAAATAAATATCTGAATCGTCCGTACAGTTCAAAATATTAGAAGCCACATTCAATTTTGAGGTATCAGATGCACTATATTTTTCGTTGGAGATTGTATGCGAACTATGTGAGGTCCCTAATGGTAAACAGCGATTAACGAGTCAGTTGTATGATAATAATAAGTTAATAATACAGTAATAGTCAGATAATTCTTTACCTATTAAATGGTTATTATTTGTCGAAATATGCATAATAGAATCGGTAACATTTGAAATTCCAAATCCCGATGTTAGTTGTTTCCCTTTAATCCTATTCTCAAACTCTTCCACATTCCCGGGATTAACTGTCAAAAAGTTTTTTGTTTTGAACGCAACTACACCACTGGTAAAAATAACGAAAAATTAGAACAAATCATCCCAAATTGATAAACTCTCATAATTAGTTCTATACATACGGATGCTGATAATTATTTTTTCGTACATTATTTTCGGGATTCTGAACTGAAGTAGTTTTATCAGGAGACGCAGAACAATTTTGTGAGGAGTGTTTTGACGGGGACGACGAGTAGAGTTGAGACTGCCAACTAGTCCCGGATGACAAATTAGAATTTGTCATAGTCTTAGAAAATGCATTTATACACAAATTTGGGTTAAATGTGGAAGAATATACTGAAGTATTTGCAGTACCATATGACGTTACAATTCCTAAGTCATAGGAATTTGTAGACGTTAAGGGATAATCAAGATTCATCCTTAAGGAAGATAAGTTTTGGGTATCGAATTGAGAAATAGATATAAAGGAAGAACTATTTATAAGGTTGGCAGTTTGAACAATGTATTCAGTATACTGTCTTTGCGGATCATTGGGAGCAAAAGTTCTGTAGAGAAAATAATATTATAAATAAACCTTAAAGTGATAAGTAAAACTAAATTTACCAAGAAAGGGTAGTAAATTGTATGTGTTCTGTCATATTTTTTTACGTACACGTAAAAAATACCGACGAGAACAGTTTTTTTTTTATAAGTTTCATGTTAAGTTACGTGATTATAAAACTTTTAATCATCACGGATAAAATATGTTACACTAGCTAAACTTTATCATGACAAATCTTGGGCTGACAGGTTTGTGCCCCAACTACTAACGGACAACTCCATATATTGAATCCAAATGAATTGGTATTGTTTCAATTCCAGAATTCATAGTATATGAATCTCGTGACCATTAACGGCAAATAGTATTCCGTCACGAGAACTTCCAATACTGACACGGGCTAAATAACTGATACAAGATTCACGAGGAATTTATGCAATTGATGCATTTCAAACCCGGTTTGAAGTGTCAAAAAGGTCATATACTGCAAACCACCCAATTTATTTGATTACTTTCGTATGTATAAACAATTTGGATAATAAATATCTAAAAGAATTATTATTAAAATTATATATATCGATATTTGAACACATTCACGCAATGCATGCATAAGATAGAATGATAACAATCATGTGATAAAAATTCCTTTACCTTCAGAATTATTGAATTAAAACCAAATTTAAGGCCTGGGGCGAATAATGATTGCAGACAATAACGCCTATAAGGACAAAAAAATCTATATCTACAGTTGCAGATAATTTAATGCACATTTAATAAATTTGATAATTTAATGTTTCTTTAGTTGCCTTTGTAATCATTATTGTTGGCACATTTTCTTTTTTTAAAAAAAAAACAAATCTTGCGTAGTTGCTTACTGGAAAGATCCAAGATATCGTTTGGTTTCCCGAATTCGTCGATATTGATAACAGATAAAGTCTACTATAATTTAAGTGATCGACATATAAGTGATCGACATAATAAACAAATAATGACGTCACGCATAATGAAAATGACATTGCATTTATTTGTTTGTGCATAGTGTCCTCCGGACAATAGAATGTTGCTTTTTTACAAATTGTCTTTAATTTTCTACAAAATTTCTTGCTTAATAAATTGGTGCTTTTCTTTTTTCTTTCTTTTTTTTTTTTTTTTTTGCTTTTTTTTTTATTCTCTTGTGGTTGCTTGTTTATTTTATTTGTTTACAAACGCTTTAGTTTGTGAATTCGGATATTGTATATTTTCCGATACATAAAAGCAAACATGTGCTAGGGTCACCAAAGAATTCTATTGATATAAAATAAATATCAAGGGAAAAAGTAAGATGAGTTTTGTTCAAAAATATATAGTATACAAAAAAAAAAGCAGGATCTTTTACACCACAAGTGATATAAAATAAATAAACCATCGTGAGTATATACACAGTTCTGATGTATATTTGTTAAGATGGATCAATCTCCAATTTCTTCATCATCCCATGCCCACCCTGGACTGCTCTCTCTGGCGAGTTTGTTTCTCCCAGCTTCAGGATTTAAGTTTATAGTTTTATTGCGTGATTGTGTTGATATTTCGTCACCTTTTTTGAGAACATCTCCACCATGATTTACAATTTCTTCCTCGTCCTCGATTTCGCCCTCCTCGACAGAAGAAGACGAACTTACCTCTCCGGTAACAACTCCAACATTAGCATTCAGTGAAGGGTCTTCTATTTCTCTATCTTCACTCTTGATTTCATTTTCATTCTTTATCTTTTTGTCGTCTTTTGTCTCTTCACTATTTCCAATCATAGTTACTTTCTTTATTTGTTGACTTTCATTGGGTGCTTCAATGTTGTTATTACTAAATTCATTATCCGAACCTTCTAAGTCAGGTTTGGAATTATTTACTGCCTCTGAACTCATTATTATTACATCTTCATCTTCAACGTCCTCGTTCCAATTCTCTAACATTTTAGCCAATGCTACTTCATCTCCAACACCATCTAATGCCTCAAGTATTTCTAATAATAGTTCATATTCTTGACATGATTTTTCATATAGAGATATTTTTTCTTGTGTATGTGTTGTTAAGTGATGAGATATCGCATCATAAGCCGTGGTTATACGATGTTGTGCGTAAGTCATAATTGGATTGGATGATGTGGATAGATTTGCATCATTGTTTGGGGCAAAAAATGATGTGGTGAATGAAGTCAGCAAAGATTCATCAAATTCGGTAGAATGTTGGAAGCTTATTAAAAATTTTCAGAACATGTAAACTGTTTAAAAAATATGATAAATTTAATTATCATAATGAATTATTACTTTTTGAAAGGTCTTACCCGTCCTCATTAAGTGTTTCATGTAAATATTCTGATCCTTGGCCTGGAATGATCCTGAATGGCGTTGGTATTACACTGGCTGTCGTATTTGCAGCAGGAGTTTTTGCCTATTAACAATAAATTATATAAAATAAAAAATTTTTATTTTTTTATAATTATATAAAATTACGCGTTAATAATAGATTAATACCTTTTTCGACGCGTTCTTATTATTTTCTATATCAATTCCTTTTCTTTTCCTTGTCGTAGTTGTTTCTTCTACGAATTCTATAGCCGGTGATCCATATAATGTTCGTCGCGAGTTATTATCTGAAATATCTGTGGTACTTGCCCTCCTTATTCGCGATTTTTTATTCGAAATTCCTTGATTACTATTATTATTCCAAATTGAAAATAATTCACCTATTTCATCATCATCTCCTTCATCTAATACAACGGAATCATTACTAGTTGTCACTCCGTTGATTCCCAAACCACTAAATTCTGTTGGTAATACTTCCGCTAATCCTTTTAAAATGTTCATTTCTACAATATCACCTTTAACATCACGATGTAAATTTTGAAAATGATTTAATACTTCAGCTAAAGTTGGTGCAGAAAAAAATGCTTGAGCTGATGTGCTTTCAATATTCATTATTATTGCTGAATTGACCGAATCTACAGTTTTAGATGCCCTTTGAACAACAAGTCCGATAAGATCTTGAAATAATGCACATGATTCCCGTGCGATCAATGGTGTAATCTCCCTTACGTCGTATTCTGATTATTGAATGATGGTAGACGATGCGATATTAAATTTTATTTACTTTGTTGGATTTTTTTTAAAATAGTATGTTAATTTTGGAAATATACCCGTGTGTTGTTTAAGATAATTGGCTACAATGACCTTCAGCATAGCTGATTGCAAAGTATGAAAATAAGCTGAAGCTATACGTGGTGGATCACAACGTGTTAGGACATCGAGTCCGGGGGCCTACCAAGGGGTGCACAAAAAATTTAAAAATAACTTTCAATGGTAGTTAATTTATGAAAAAAATAAAGAAATGAACTTACAGCAAACCAGCCTAGTACAGTTTGACCTTTCCAGTTCATCAACTTTGCGATCGTGCTGATGAGATCCCGAGAACTTGATTGATATGAAAAGAAGCCCTAAAAACAGGATGAAAAGTTTAAGAAAGAGCAACTAAAATACGAAAAAATATATAAATAAATAAACTTATACACAATAAGTATTTGTTTAACCTTAACATGAATTATTAGTCTACGATCTGGACATTCTTCACGTTGACCGAACAAGATGCCTTGAACAGGTGTACCATCGATTGCAGGCCTGAGCCTTACAAACACATCTATGTAAAAGAAAAAAAGATCTATCTTCAACAAGTTCATACAAGTAATGTCTATAACTAAATTGTAAAATGTTAAATTTACTTACCCTTAGGAATCTGGATCGTAGCAGGCATGCTTCGTTGTTTTTTCAAAACTCCTCAAATTCATTATCACTGATTGATATATATTTATATACAGTATTATAAAGTACTAAATCAAGTATGGTTAAAAACTAATTTTTGGGGGGAAAGTGTTGTTTAGCTGCGCCGTACGATTTCTAGAATAAAGTCATACCGACCCGCGCTAAATTTTCTAATCATTTTTTTAACTGTTTACCATGTTAACAGCCGGCATTAAGATAGTCTTAACCCATTGTGAAACATTATATAGTTAGGGATATACAACTATCGATTCTAGATCGTTCTATTGAGCGTTGATTGGCTCGTAGTCACACTTTTGACTTAACGTATAAAAAATTTAAAAATATTAGGTATATAAATACTTTACGTATTTTACTTAACGTTAATAAAGTATATTTATAAATTTTATTACGTATCAATAAAATATTCATTATTAAAGATATCGGGAACAAATAAATTATATATTATCAGAAACAAATTTTAATTCACTTTTTGATTATACAATTTAAAAAAATAAAAAATAAATACGTAATTTTCTTTACTGTCATTAAAATAATGAAGAAGGCTTATATACGTAAGAATAATAAAATGAATGTGCAAAGAAAGGTTAGAATTAAGCTTAGACTAAGCTTTGAGGTAGTATTGTTTGATGATTTAATATTCGTAAGAAACAGAATAACTTTCTAATGACTTTTTGTATACACGAATATTACAGTGCCCGTCAAAAGTACATCACACTAGTGTTCCAAGTCGAAAATCGATTTTTATTAGATTATTGACGACAAATCGATTAACTGATTAATCGATCGGAACTAGATGTTCTTGGTACCATCCGATTCGCCTCATCGAGACAAATTGAATGGTACCAAAATTACCGAATTCTAATCGCTAGATCATGAGATACCGCACATTAAAGTTTGTCTAAAAATTATGTTCTTAATTTGATAGTGTCTAATTTGACGCTTACAATAAAATATATATCACGAAATATATCAATCAGAATCGCATGATTTGTTGCCATTCAATTCATCTCGATGAGACGAATCGGATGGTATTAAAATTATTCAATTCTGATTGATATATTTCGTGATATTTTATTGTAAACATTATCTTCATCAAATTAGGTTACCTATTTTGAGTTATTTTAGTTAAGTAGTGCATCTTGAGAACTATTGATCAGAATCGCATGATTTTGTTACCATTTAATTCGTCTCGATGAGACAAATTGAATGATACTGAAATCATGTAATTCTGATTGACAGTTCACGAGATGTTATTATGTGTTAAATTAGAAACTGCGTTAAAATAGGTATATCTCCCTTATATATCATACTTTGAGTTTGCAAAATTATGTGAAATTTGCAGATCAAAAAAGAAATCAATAATTTCTGATTTATAATTTCCAACTCTAAATATTTTTATGTAGAAATAGAAGTTATTAATTCATTATTTTGTAACATATTTGATTTAGTATCCTTTGTAGAAATATAATTTGCATATTTTTCATTATATTGTAAAAAATTTGATTGTGTATTACTAAATTTTAAAATTTACTATTGCATTGCAAAATTAAACAAAACTTGGTTTTCAAGTTTTTAATTTCTGTCAATTGTAAAGTAGTGGGTTTTAAATTATAGTCAACCTCCTATATAATTACACAATTTTTTACTTAAGAACTTTTTAGAAAATGTACTTATAAAGAGGTTGTGCTTAAATAGAGGTAGTTTTTTATAAGTTTAATAGTGATTTGTTCTTGAGTACAAAATGTGATAAAGAGAGGTTTTTATATGGTATAATTATATAGAAGATGATTATATATAGGTACAACTATATATTAAATATAAACAATAATTATAAAATGCTTAACATTATATATAATTGTTTTAAATAAAATTTAGAATTAGAATGCGTTTTTATGAATTTTTTTTTTTTATATATTATCTATCTCTTAAGCTATAAACTTTTGCAAGCAAATTTGCTTGCAAAAATTAGTCCAATAATTTTTTTTTTTTTTTTTTTTAAACAGTCATGCTTTTATTCTGTGAACTTTGTGTAACTATTATAAATGAATACAACAATTTTTTACGAATGTGGTTCTATCTAATAAAAACTACCCAAGTATAAGCCCAAGTCGATCTGTTATAACAACTGTTCGCTTTTCTCAGGATCCAAAACTTTCAATGGATTTGGTACCATAAAGATACTCCCTTGATACTTCGCTGGCTGTTATATGGCCAATTCATGACTGCTAAACTTTCCTCTCTAATTCTTCTTTCTTCTCAAGGGGCACGAGACAAAAGGGGAAAAATTTTTAAAACAGGTTGTATGAAAACGAAAGAAAAAGAAAAAACAGAAAAGAAAGAAAAAACAGATACAAATTGCAAAAAAGAAAAAACAGAAAGAAATATAACAATCTATAAAGCACTATTATAACCCATGTCAGGCAAGAATAAAAATCATATAACAAATGCAATATTTGTATATCTCTACTATAAAGCTTCGCCTTAACGTTAAATTTACTTTCCATCCTTCTTACTGACTCCAGATAGCTCCATTGTCTGTCTTAATTCGTATCTTGAGCCAGGTGCTGCCATTGTCTGAGGACCTGTGTCTCAAGCCACCTGTTGCTATAATTAAAGTTTCCAAGCTGAGTCCCTTGAAGTAGTGCCATATTTGTCTGTAAACAAACACATAGTTGCATTCTGCTAATCTGTCCAGATTTGGGAAATAAACAATGCCGATCTTTTGGAGGGGATAAGCCAAATTTCCACTTTTTGTCAAAATTTTTTGGAAGACTGACAGGGGAGTGAGTAGGAGTAAAAAAGGAACCACTTGACCAAGTAAAAGAGTGCAGCTTGAAGAAAAGCAGAGTTTTGTTGTTTCCTCTGTGTTCTTTCTTTGGAAGTAATAGCCTAAGTAACTTCATCAATGGATAGACTCTTGTTTTTCTACCAAAATTTTGTATCCAAGGGTGCACATCTCTAGCCAGTTATCTTGTATACTAATGCTTTTGGCTTGTATATCGAATATACAACTTATAGAGGAGTCCCAAAAGAGTAAAACTATTGACCTTTAGACAAACCACTATGTTAGACCATGACTTTTCAACAAAAATTCTGTTTTCCTTCAGTAAAAATTTTGGTCTAAATGATTGTCGGGAAGAGTTCAAGTTTACAATTTTGTATATAATTTTTATCTTTATACCTGACACAGGTTATAATAGTATATTTTCTTTTCTTTTTGTTTCTTTTGTTTGTTTTTTTTTAAGGTGGTTTATCAGGACTCCTATATAGTACTACAAATCACCAAAAATTTTGCAATCGATTAGTTGTCAACTTTTCAATTATTTAATTTTTATTCGATTTTTGTTCAATTTTTATTTGATTTTAATATGAGTTGCCAAAAATTTTTCAATTGATTAGTTGTCAACTTTTTGATTAGTTGCGATTTTCAATTTTTGATTTGTAGCAATACTCCTATGCCTTTTTTTTTGCTCTTTTAATTTCATCCTATTATGATAGAACTATATTTAGAACCCTTTTTTTTTTTGGTTAAATGTTTTTTTTTTTTTTTTTTTGTTTTTGTTTTTCTTTTCTAGATAGTTTTGTTTTTTTTCATAGATGTAGTATATTTTTTCTTCCCTTACAGAAAAGTAAAAAATAAACTATTTTGCCCGGATCTAGGTAGAAAAAGTTTAGAAGAAAGGATAGATAGTCTTGACAAGTCAGTGAAATCTTTTGGTGAAGATTTATTCTTTTCAAATGCAGAAGAGAATATTTTGGAGAAGAATCTGCCTATAGCAGGTTGCATATGAATAATTTGGACTCTGGTTACAAAAAGCCAGGTAAGCTAATATTTGTAATTTAAATGACATTAGGGTTTATACTCTTTGAAAATTTTAATATTTCACAGTATAATATTATAAAGCTTAATAAAGTAGAGGTAAGACTGCTAAATTTAAAAAAAAATAAAATAAAATAAAATTATCAAATTATCAAATATAGTAATTTACTAAATATTTTTTAAAAAATTATAAAATTTTCAAGATATATGCAATTTGTTATACTAAATAATTTTGTTAAAAAAAATTGCTAGTATACTTGCTAAAAATTAAATTTTATATAAAATATACTTGCCTATTTTCAGTGATTTTTTTTTGCTATATATAAAACTTATTCAAAAATTATTATTTTTTTATAAAACTTTAAATATAAAATTTACAATTAATTTAGACAAATAATATTTCTACACCTCTTTTTTGATATTTCCACACCTACACAAATTACTTTTTTTAAAATCTTTAATTGAAAGTATTTTGATAACTACCTGATCAAATTTAATGAATTTTTTTATTGAAATTTTACAAAATTCTTATTTTTTCAGATTTTTGATAATTAATGAGCATCTTATGTTCATTCTTTTCAATTTTAACTTTATAAAGATTACAATGTCCAATTATAGATGCTTTATTAGCATTATTTGTATTTGCAGATTTTTGACAAGGAATTCGAATTGGTCAGGTGGTTATTAAAATTCTATTAATCAAAGTTAGAGAAAATTTTGCTACAGCATTATTCTGATAAATATTTAGATTTTTTGCAAAAACTTTGATCGAAAGTATCTTGACGACTACAAGATCAAATTTGATAAAAATTTTTTTATTGGAATTCTACAATTATGCAGAATTCAAATAAAAAAAAAATTCATTGAATTTGGTCAGGTCATTATTGAGATATTTTTAATCAAAATTTTGCTGCAGCAATTATTTTGATAGATGTTTAGATTTTTTTAAAAACTTTGATCAAAGGTATCTTGACAACCACCAGATCAAATTTGATGAAATTTTTTTAATTAGAATTTTACAATTATGCAGAATTCAAATAAAAAAAAATTATTGAATTTAGTCAGCTGGTCGTTGAGATATCTTCGATCAAAGTTTTTGTAAAAAATTCAAATATTTATCAGAATAATAGCTGCAACAAAATTTTCTCTAA